GGGGGGGGGGGTGGTTTCCCCCCTAAAATACAGTCCCATATTTTGTGCTTTCTGGTGCTTGGCTTCATTGCACAGTGAAGTGTGACTGATCACTAACAGAAATGGTCAAATATCTCCACCTGCTGTTCAAACGGCACGCTACATAATGTCATTATTTAATCCCCATAGTTTTTGTCTCCTTCCTGTCTTTCTCAGCTCCTTCATGATCCCAATGATGCATAAATGATGAACAGTTTTCCTTCCACATAGATGTGTGAGTGTTTATGTGACAGACTCAGTGTTGTTATTAACTTAAACAATTAAAAATCACTTTCGTTAATTTAAATAAAGCTCAGAAACATTGCATTAGCAACAAACTATAAATAAAATAAGTTGAAGATGAAGTACTAAAATTACTATAACTAAAACTGAGATTGTGAAATTAAAGCTAAACTAATAAAAGTGACAAAAGCACATAAAATTTAACTTAAATTAGTATGAAAATTGAACATATTAATATTAAAAATATGAATAATAATAATAATACATTAACACTGTTCTATGTATATGGTTATATAAACATTATTGAATTAAAAAAGTTAAAGTTAAAGCACTAAAATCACTCAAATTAAAACTAAAATAATAAATAAAAGCTAAATAGAAACAAAATAATAGAAATGACAAGCATGTACAATTTCTAAAATTAATATATGTATATTATTAATTAATAAATGCTATAATAATACTAAAATTACACTGGACAGATTTATTCAATACTTTCAGCCACTTGTATATGTGGAATACTGTAATTAGCCTTGGAATATAATTAGTGAAATTACATTTTCTTTGCAGCAAGGTGCAATTTAGTCATGTTTAATGTGTTTTGAATGAGTCTATGCTGCAATAAATAATTTCAATAAAATCCAATAATTCTCCTTGACCTATAAATGCCTCCACACACCCAAAAACCACAAACTGGGTCATTTATTTCATCTTATCTGGAGCTTATTTGATCAGAACAGACTGGCTTGTTTTACTAGTGAGATCTGGCAACATTTTTTGAGCTTTGGATGTGTTGTCGTTTTCAAACATTGTTCAAGTGTCCAAGTAGATGTGATGCATTCTAATTAAATCTTTGTGCACGAAAGTAGAATTATCAAGTTAACTGGATTCTAAATGCTTGCTGGTACTGACGTTAAATAAAGAGCAAGAATGATCAAGTTGAAAATGTATCACTAAAGACTTTTCCAATTAAATGTGTAAATCTGTAATGTATTTGTGTACATCTGAAGGTCCCAGACAGTGAAAAGGCATCTTTAGGATGTAATAATTCTAATTAGCTTTATGAACAGTAGAGATCGATGAGAGCTGAATGCTGTGTTTTGACTCACAGCAAACTCGTTATCAGGATCCACTTTCCCTCTCCTCACAGGTCTGGAGTACTGGAACCGCTGAACGTAGTTCGACTTGTAGAAACTACAGAATCAGCAGAAAGAAGCAAGAGAAGAAAAGAGGAGAAAGAGTTTACAGCATCAGATCATATCACACGGCTACAGATTCACGCGTGTTGAAGGTGAACAGATGAACGTGGTTTGTGTTTTCTGCAGACTGACTTGATGATCTGATCAGGCACTGGTTTGTTCCTCAGACGCGGCGGGATCTCAAGAACCGGCTGGACTGTAAAACACTGGATATCTGATCCAGATCCGGTTAAGAACAACAGACCGACCATTTATATTCAAATATGTGACCCTGGACCACTAAACCAGTGAATAAATAAGCTTTCCATTGATGTGTGGTTTGTTAGGATAGGACAATATTTGGCCGAGATACAACTATTTGAAAATCTGGAATCTGAGGGTGCAAAAAAAAAATCTAAATATTGAGAAAATCACCTTTAAAATTGTAAACTGACTCATCAGCTGACTCTGGAAGTCTTCCCTGCGCTCGTACTCCTTCCCACGGTGAATGAAAACCTTATTCTATTGAAATCAAATATAACAAAACATCATCATCTAGATTACATTACATATCTGTTAGTAATACAGTTCCAGCATTATCTGAGAATAATAAACACATGCTGACCCTGAGGAACTGAGGGAAGCCAGAGCCGTAATATCCCACAGCGAAGTAGTCCGGCTTGGGCCGCAGGATCTTCATAATGTTCTCATAAAACTTGGCCTGCTGATTCTGCAAAAGGAATTAACGGATGAAATAAACGAAGGGACAAACAAAAAAGACAAAAAGAAAAAATTTATAAAAGTAAATTGTTACGTCATCGTACGTATTCTTGTGTATGCCTGTTGTGTGTCTCTATGGTTTCTGCTGTCCTAGGTTAAGTAGCAACACCTGTTGATAACCAGCGCTCCTGAGTGTCAACCTCTGCTGATTCGCTCTTGCAACTGTGTGCCCTGCCATAAAAGCCGGCTAGTTTTCCAGTGCTTGAGGGGCGGGAGGTTTTTCCTCCGTCTCTCTTGCGAAGAGTCCCTGTCGCCTGTTGCAGACGTGTGGTTTTCTTTTTTGTTTGTTGTTGATTGTTATAGGACTCTTTTCATTGAACCCCTGAGTGCAG